GACAAGTAGGTTCTGTTAGCGATTGGCGAAGGTTCATCAACCAGTATACCATACTTTTGAGGAATTTTCGCTGTTATTTTGGCGGAACTTGTGCTCTGCATTTCTGTTGAATCCTTCTGTTTCTGCCTAGGTGCCACACCGGATGAAAGTCTGTGGAGCTACGGAACTGGATGCTATGAATACCTACATCGAGAGGGAGGTTCGAAGGAGAGACTTTGTGTTGGCTAGGTGGAACAAGCGAGAGCAAGAGCGCATTGAAAAGGAAAATGAAAACAAACGAATGGCAGGCATCGCTACTGTGGGGAAACTGTCCGATGAAGAGATTCTGAAAAAGTGGAGGGTAAGCCCGGAGTGTCCTTGTTGACTTTGGTCCTTGAACTTTCCCACACTACAACCGATGTCGCCATTTCTAGTATATATTTTGTTGAAAGAATTTGCTCCCATAGCCCTTGATCCGTTAGTATAAACGAGGCAATTTGAAAGTTAAAGCCCTGGACCTCTCAGACTGTCCGAGCAGAACTAAGTTGTGCAAAATGAATGGAGAATAGTATAACATTTTTTTGGTTAATTTACTTTCCTTATCCCGCCAACTCTTGCTTTAAGCGATAGAATAGGAGTATTCAGATGTTCTAATGGTGCACGTGGAATAGTAATTCTCATTCGACCAGATCTCGGTTTGAACTTTGAATGTCCATATCGGCAGCTATCCGTTTATTTGATCCTAAGTTGTACTAGCAAACCAGTAGAAATGCACGATCCCTAATGCTGCTTGATTTTCCTCTAAGTCTTATACAGTACTCGGATTTTCTGAGCACTCGACTTACTCTTTCTGAATTTGTTTGGAATGGTATGTTGTTTCGTGATTCCACATGGTTTCCACATGGTTTCCGCTAACTCACGTAAATTTTCCCGGTTGTAGGCAGAATACGATGTCTACTTGGCTGGTGAGCGGGAGTTCCTACGAGCCCTGGGTCTGTATCAGGAAGAGGAGGAAGATACGACGGCAGCCCAACCAGAAGCTGCACCCGCATAATAAGCCTCCCCAAATAGTATAAGAGAGGCTTTATATGACGTTTTTCTATACTTTTTCCCTGTTTCCGGGTCCCTGTTTCATGCGAATGGCAAAATATGTGCTCCAAACTTTTTGCTGTTCCTTTGTTCTGGTGTTTTTGACACGAGCCTTGTGGGCCTTAATTATATTTGCCCACTTATTG